CACCTTGAAATAAAATACATTAGAAACTTAGTAAAGGAATATTAATGAATCTCACCTTGAACCCGGGTTATGAATGCTCTTGCTGCATCTCTTGCATGGTCTGGCAAGGTGATGGTGGCACTCTGCTTCCGCATCCAACCATGCACAACATTATCCACCGATATGCTCATGCTGGGATCCCTTGGATTCAGCACCCATCTCTTTTCTAGGCAATCCTTCGTATATCCGGAACTTGGCTTGAACCACTCCACAGTTACATTGAAGGAGTTAGTTTCCGCGTCCTCCTTTGCATCAGTGATGCAGCGCCCCACCCATATCATTTGTTTTTTATTACTGGGTCTGACAAGCACAACCATTCCTTTGCAGACCTGTACTGGATTGAATGCTGAATCCGGCTTCTTGTTCCTCGGCCCACAATAGTGATCCTCAACATCGTTATCTGTCACTACATTTCCAGAGGACATTGTTCCGCTACTATCTGGTGCTCTGGGTTCTGGCCAAAAGGACTCTTCCAATTCTTCATATACAACCGGCCCATTTTGGATAGCAGATATAATCTTCTCCCAGTATTCGAGCAAAGGCTTGCACCTCTGAAAATAGGATTCTCCACCAAACACCAACCCCCTCTTCCAGAAGGCAATATGCTGTCTAATCCCGGCCACTATACTTTCCTGGTCTTTGAGTCCATCCGGGTGCATCGGCCGTGGGGAACCCTGAGGAATCATAGGTTCCCCAGTTATGGGATCTCTCTTGAAGAGTTCAATGCCGTCCACTGGCAGCCACACTGTGTCCCATTCTCTCATCTTGTACCTCATCACTGGAGCACCGTCACACATGCTGAAATGAAACTGAAGAGACTTGGAGTGGCCAATCAGCATTTCGGATCCGTCCCTGATGTAGCCTCTTACAAACCCCTTAAAGTCTGGAACCTCTGTCAGAAGTGCAGCTTCAACAGTGCCTTTGATGCAATTTTGGAATTCATCGTAGAGTTGTGGGAGGGTGAGGACATTGGATCGCCGGAGGGACTCTGCCAAGTGACTGAACATGGCATCGACGTCTTCATGAGTGTGCCCAACCATGAGAAAGCCAAGTGTAACCGTTTCAAATATGCCTTTGGCAACAAGCATTGCCAAGTACGCGAAGACGTACATGTTTTTGTTCTCACTGCCAGCATTGTCTGTTTGGAGCAGAAGATGGGGTGGAAGGCCACATCGGCCGCAAGAACTTCCTTGAGATTCTGCTTCGTTTGGATGAGGCTGTGCATTCACCGGGCGACCAGCCTCGTCGGAATGGCATGAGGCCTCACGTGATAACCCTACAATCTGACGGCCAACATATTCACTGGGATGGCATGGGGCCCCACGCAATACTGCAAGCCTTTGCTCCTCCTCCAGTTGAACCCTGTATGGGGTTCGATCGACAAGGGCCTTATGCAAGGGTTGGCCGTTCAGTTCAGTCTGCGCACTTTGCAGAGACCTTAAGTGTTTTGCTAGGGACACAATCATCATGTTTGCACCCCCACCACCCCATAGAGGTACAAAGAAGTTCCCATAGTTTTGGGCACCATGCCCATGAGCGATTATGCCAAATAGAGACACAGGCAGTTGCATGGATGAAGAGATTGCCTTGGGGGCAGGATTGAGTCGAGGTAAGCACGTCTTTTTCTGGTCCATTTTGTCGTGGATGATGCAGAGGTAAGAGTCAGGTCTCTCCATGGAGAGAATCCTGTTATGATAATATGCAGTCCTGCAGCTTCTCTGCTCGATGTTGTGGTCGAGCCGCCTTCTAACCAACGTCTCTCGCTCTTGAGCACTGCAAGAATTCTTCGACAAAGCCATTTTGATAGCAGTGCACTCGTCACACTTTGAAAAGCTGGAGTACTTTCCTATACTCACATCCCCGAACCTGTTGCTCCACAATCTACTAAATCTAGATTGGCTCAGCTTCCTGTAGCCATTACTCTGGAGTTCCCGATTCACATCTTCCAATATGGCCCCCTTGGTATACATGGAAGGGAGAACTCGTTGGGTGTCTCGTGTTCCATCTTCCAAGAGGCGGGTTTTATGTGGTTGCTGCTCGCTACATGTCTCGACAAACCTCTTGAAGATTGCCTCTCCATATACAACATGACCCCTGGTTTTGTGCATACCGTCGTTCCCATAGACTGCCTGTTGAACCCTTTGTTCCTCGAACTCAGTTTTGATTCTGTAGAATGTGGTTCGAGGGACTCCATAAATGATTCTCCATGCCTTCATGCAGACCAAACCCCTCTGGAAGACCATGCCCCCCTCAAGATTCATAAGCTGGAAGACTTCCACTGCTCGATCATAGTGCCCGTTTTGAGAGTTGGTCGTCCAGGAAACCAAGGTGTGCATCTTCATGCTCTCAAACATGCTCCTGGCGGCGCTCAAGTTGAAACTTGCGTGAGAGCTATCCAGCAGACAATGGTCTTGCGCAGGATCTCGTGAACGGCCTTGTCAAAACGCCCATTCTTGCAAATGCGAGGATCCACAGTACTGGATTCTTCTCCGGGATTTGACCGAAGCTGTTCTTCGTGAGGGCAACGACGCCTTGGTGGCTGTCGTCATCACCGTCCATGCACCACGTCTAAGATCTCTCTGGCGGTGACCAAATCCCCCCTCTGGTATTCACTGCTAGAAGGGGAACCCACGGAACGTCCTGTCATTCTGGGCAGTAGATTCGTCCAGGACATGAGATCCTTGGCCGGCGTTTTTGCGCAAGATCGATTTCATTTGCCCCTGGTGCGCGAGTGCCATTATAATCGAGTTCCATGGCGCTCTGAGTCGCAATCAAACATAGACTCTCACTCTCGGATGCGGGATGCCGCCACATATGCAGTGATTATCGCGTTCCAGGAGACGATCACGGAACTCCTTGTTCCTGGAAATCTCAAGATGCCCGGACTGGGCATACAGTGTACTGAGTGAGTGCCAACCGACCACGTCAATCCAAGATCTTGTTTGCCTAGCTGAGATTGGAGCTCCTCACCTCCACGTCCCAGTTGATCACGCGGAAAACCTCCTCTTTGCTGTCCATCTCCTCCAGACCCAGCCACTGGTACGACTGTGGCAAAACTTGAGAGATCTCGCACACAATCTCGTCAGCTTGAGCTCGAGGGAGGTGATGATCAATGTAGAGCTCTTCTTCTTCTTCTTGCATGATGAGGTCCTGGCAATCTTGCTCCTTGTCGATGGAGACGACGTTTGAATCGTTCATGTCCAGATGGTAGCTAAAGGCGAGCATGAATTTGTGGCACAAAAGCAAGTCCATGTCGATCCTACCTCTGCAAATCTCGGACAGCTTCGACATCCAAGTCGGCTCCCTTTCGTCCTTGGGCGGCTGGATGCCTTGGATGATGGCCGCATTTTGCCGCGTCTTGGCGTCCGGAAGGGATGTGTCAGGGAGCGAAGCAATTGCGTCAGAATAGATGCAGTTGAGCTCCTAGACCAGCTCATCCCAAGTCCGGCACAACAGGCTCGTTGTGTAATTGTATCAACCAAAAACCCAGGTTCAGGGGACTTCGACTTTGAACCCAAGGCTGCATTGAAGCCATAGATTAAATCATGAATAGCATATAGTATATGATAGCAGTTAGAACCTTTAGCCTTTCAAAGGGGGGAATCCAAATTGTGGATCCCTATCTCCATTCCATCGTTTTTCTTATCAATACACAACATTCTTTTACTCGTGCTTCTTCTCTGCCCTTGGAGATTGGGCCTTTTTCTCTTTTGTTTTTTTTACTAACAATAGATTTCCAGCGAAGAGGAGTTTTCACACCTCTTCATTTGGTGACCACAGCTTCTGAATTCCCCTTCAGGTTCACAAATTCTTCCATTTTTTCTCCATTCTCTGTGCGCAAGAACGATCTAGAAATCTACCCATCTCGCCCAAATTCGCCCAAATTACGACCTAATTTGTACATTCGCCCCAATTCAACAAGCAAATGCCACTACCACCATGGATCAACGGCATCCAAGCAGTTGCTGCCCAACGCAGTAAAGACAAACACTTTCCAGAGGAGATCTTTGAAGAATCTGAAAGCTCTCTCTCAAGATCTCCAAGTCCAATCACCGACGGAGAACACCAACGACCCTCTTTGACAAGAAACTCCAATCTACCACCTTCATCAGCGAACGCCCTCAGCAACTTCATTGGCGAACTCCATCTCCGAGCACAAGACCACCCACTCCAAGCTCGACACCTCAACTAGTGCACTCGACACAAACCAACACCACTGCCAAAACGAACCCATCTTCCGTGCAGTCGTCGACCTAGCAATCCTAGCATTCCAACACAATTCCAATTCCTGCACCCACTCCAAATACCGAAGCACGTCCTCAAAACCTACACCAACGATGAACCCATCTTCCGTGCAGTCGTCGACCTAGCAATCCTAGCATTCCAACACAATTCCAATTCCTGCGCCCACTCCAAATACCGAAGCACGTCCTCAAAACCTACACCAACGATGAACCCATCACTCTGTTACCTGGTATTGGACAACTTGTCGAGGGACAACTTCACAACGCACCACCGATTTTTCAACAACCCCTCCGACATAGTCAGCAGCTCAGCACTGAAACAACAGTCCGAACTCGGTTCGAAATCAACACATTCGCTGCAACAACTCTCGCCAGTCACGCCATTGCCCAATCCGGACTCGAACAACTTGACGACATTATCGAAGAAATCATTCCAGACAAACCCGAATATCCGAAACTCTTCATCGAACTCCATCTCGGCACCAGCAAGTGGAAGACCAGTTTGCATACTGCACCAGCACACTCAACCCAACACAACTCGGCTGAACACAACCCAACCCAACACGCACCACCGTCAATATTTTCACTGAAAAGAAAGAACAAGCTCACAACGACTTTATCGACAATTGGCCCGCCGACAGTCTTCCCAAAGTTCTGCCCGAACTGCATGATTGACTGCAGACACAAATCTGACACTGACAACCAATAGAAGAATGCATGTATCCAAAACCACGAAGAACATCCAGCAAGTCGAAAGAAGACCGACAACGTCTTATCCGACGTTTAGATAGAGATTTGAAGAATTTAGAAACAAAGAGAAAGAAAGACCAAGAGAAGTTGAATCAAGTTGTTAGACCCTCCAAGAGAGAGAATTACATCCGACACGAATTATTACCGCGAGCTAACTCTGACGAATCAGTATCGGACATTCACAAAGAATACGACGACTACACAACACCACCGGACACACCACCGGCAGCACCCTCGACAGCACCCACTGAAGTGCCCGAGCCTGAATCAACACCCTCGACGACACCCACCAAAGTGCCCGAGCCCGATCGAACATTCGAGCAGTCAACACAGACTACGCCTGAGCAACAAAACATTTTTCAAGCAGCATACAACCACTTCAAAGGTACATTCACCAACCCCATCTACAGTGACGACGAACGACCAAGTTTCCTGTCCAGCTTCACAGACTTCACCAGACCAGCACCATTTTTGCCATACCGGCCGATCTTCACAACACCAATATATCCCACATTTGCTTCCAACATCTACCGAAGCCCGCTATCAGCAAGACCTTTCAAACACGCTTTCGACTTCAACGCGCCAACAAGACAACAACTCGACTTCATCAATTACAGTCACACTCCGATATACCCAGTCAACAGCAGTAAAGACGAACAACCCGAATCATCCAATAGTCAAGCACTCGACGTCAACACCTCACACCGAACTGCCGAACAGCTACAATCATCCAAAAACAACGAGATCGATGAACCAATCGTCGATGACAACAATCTTCCACAACAACCACAATCACCACACAACTATACATTCGAAGAACTCTTTGACAATTTAGAAGAACAACCACAACCAAAACAACATAACTCCGACAAATATGTCGACAACAAGTTCAAACACCATCTTCCTAAAATCAACACCGGCAAGCAACCCGACACCGACGACGACGTCGATGACACACCAGAAAACAATCCCAACATAGAAGAAAAAACAGAGAAGAGTCCACTAAATAACAACAACATTTCACCACCACCTTCCTCTTACACCAACTTTGCTGTTGACCCCGACAACCCCTTGCTACAAATCACCTTAGGACTCCACAGTGACAACTTGACAAAACAACCTCGACAATACCGACATTACTACCAACAGCAAATGCAGTCACTACCGCCGTCGCCAACATACATGTCGGAAGACACGTCTCCTATCCACTATTTCATGGTCTGAAGTCAGAAGACGCCGAGAAACATGTTGAACAGTTCCGAGAAGCAATCCAAATCAACAGCCAGATGACTAAACTTCCATACTATTTCTGATGTACCCTTCGAAAGAGAGCCAACGAATGGGCTCAAACGCTTCCTCAAAATACAAGTTTTGACGACCTCGCACTCAAGCTTGTAGACCGATTCAAGTCTTCCCTCACTCAAAGCCAACGACTTCACAAGATCAAAAAACTCAAGTAGAAGTCTGGTCAATCCATTGACGACTACACTCAAACCTTCACTCGACATGCTAGCAAATGCGGCAACAGTGCCACCGAAACATTACTTTACCAATGGTACATGCAAGGACTCTGACGATCCCTCCGAGAAGTGGCAACACACATCAACGTTGCCACTTATCTCGAACTTGCAAGAGCCCTTCAAGATGTTCAAGCTCGACAAATGACAGCACAAGTAGATGACACAGATAACTCAGATTCTGATAGCAGTTCTGATGACGACTCTGACGATGAACTCGAAGAGAGCACCAAGTCAAAACTTTGGAAACTCAGGAAAACAATCGACAAGCTCAAGGGAAAAGCCAAGGCTGGCATCAAAGAATTTCAATCTGGAATTTGGTGTACTAAGTGCAAGAACGAAGGACATCTGGCAAGTGACTGCAAGCTCCAAATCTCCAAATGCCAGATCTGTACCAAAGAAGGTCATGACGCCAAGACTTGCAGATTTTGAAATTCTCCAGAAGTTTGACAAGTCTCGAACTATCCCCGACAGCAGTTTCGACAACCATATCCAAATCAATACTTCAACAATTACCAGCCACCACCTCCGACAAACTGGAGACCACCGAGAAACAACTTCCAACACTAGAGTCGACAATGGAATGATCAACCTCGCTACAACAACTACAACGACTACAACAACTATTACAACAATCGACAACACCCGCCGAACCGGAACTACCCAGCAAACCGAGACAACAACAACCAAGGATACCAACAATACCCAAGATACTAGAACTGAAGATACCAAGGCCAAGGTTATCAAGACCAGGCCTACCAAGGCAACTACAACAACCAACCATGGCAACCTCAACTTCAACACCAAGGCGGTCCGCCGAGACTTGGTCCACCACCTCCTCGACAACAAGATCAGAACCAGCAGCAACCACCAACAACAAGGATGGTCGAGACTGACGAACTACCTTATGCTGACAATGACAACTCAGATCCTCAAGTCATGGTAGTACAAACCCAAGCACAAATTCGAGCAGAAAAACAACAACAACCGGACAGAGATTCCGGAGATAGTGAAGAGAAAGGCCCTAAGAGCCTGACAAAACTCCGGGAATGGAAAAAGAAGCAGAAGTTAGCTGCCAAGATACAATGGCAACTCGCTCTACAACAACCCGAATTAGTGATTTTAGACTCCGACAATGAAGCTCAACCATCACCAGCTCGACAACAATGCCAACACTCAATACCAGAAAACGGACAGACAAATCGTCCAACATCGATACCGACACCAAAACACAATTCGGCAAACTTTGACAAAATCCAAGCAGTAGCAGAGACTATCCTCAACCAAAATATTCAGATCAACATCGGCCAACTGCTGAAGATTGCACCCTACCTCACCAAACAGCTCACCGATCTAACATCTGCATTGACCAACACTTTGATAGACTCGCCCACACTCAACTCGACACAGACAGCTGTTGACACATTTCGTATTGAGATTCAACCAGGCGATTGTGACAATGATGTTCCGACAATCGACCTACGACTCGACAAACATCTTGTTCGAGGAGCCACAATTGACGGAGGCTCCAGCGTTAATATTATTGAAGAAAGTCTTGTTCAACAACTCAACATCGGCCTAGTTCACCCAGCACCTTTCAATGTCCGAATGGCCGATCACCAATTTGTTCAACCCAAAGGCATCATCCGAAAAGTCAACACCACCATTCAAGGCGTCGAAATACCAGTCAACTATGTCGTCCTCAAACTACCGGAGTAGACCGACGGATACTCAATTCTCCTCGGTCGACCTTGGCTCCGAATTGCCCAAGTTTATTAAGATTGGCCAATGACAATCTTATCCTTCAAGGACCGGATGGACCGACAACCGTGTCGACAAAAGCGACCAAATCGCTGTCCAGCCACAACCAACCTATTGACTTGGAAGAATATAATCTCGAAGATGGCCTCGACGACTATGAAGAACAACAAATTCTCAAAGCCTACCCTGATCTCAAACCTTTGGCCGAGATCGACCTCTTCCGAATTGTCGCTGACTTCCAACGAGAATGACCACCGATTACATCAGCACTGACAAATCCAGTCACTCGAGATACAAAACTCGAAGCGCCACCGGCATTCACAGTCGACAACCACAACAAAGTTGCCTACATTCCGTCAATTCCAGCCGACCAAAAACTCAAAAAAGTCAGCCTTGCCGATGACGGCAACGAACACTACATTGTACTCGCCACTGACATCTCGGCAAGTTTTCAAGACAAAAGCACCAATCTTCTCCGAAAGAGGAAACACTTATTCGCTTGGAGTTATCGAGACCTTAAGGGAGTTTCGCCAAAACTCAACCTTCACACCATCACCCTTCTTCCAGACTCAAAACCAAGACGACAAGCAGCCTACCGGATGAATCTGAATCTAATGGAACAAGTAAAGAAAGAACTCGACAAGCTTCTCCAAGTCGAGTACATCTACCCAATTCAGAATCCAATGTGGCTTTCACCACTGGTGGTTGTGTCGAAGAAAAATGGCAAACTTCGAATCTGCGTCAACTATAAACAGCTCAACGACGCCACCGAAAAAGATGTCTTCCCGATACCATTTACCGACGAAGTTCTTGACGCAGTTGCTGGACACGAGATGTATTCCTTCCTCGATGGTTTCTCTGGCTACAACCAAATTCACATCGCCAAAGAAGATCAGCACAAGACAGCATTCATCAGTCCATAGGGAGCCTATGCTTATCGACAAATGCCTTTTGGACTCTGCAACGCCCCATTCACCTTCCAAAGGCTTGTCACCAACACTTTCGGAGACTACCTCACTGACTTCATGAGAGTCTTCATGGACAACTTTAGTGTTTTCAGCTCGGAAGATCAACATCTTGAATGCCTGGAGAAATGCCTCAACAAGTGTGAGGAGAACAACATAGCACTCAACCCCGACAAATGCGCTTTCTTCGTCAAATCTGGAGTACTTCTCGGCCACGTTGTCTACAAAGATGGCATTCTCATCGACAAGGACAAAGTCGACATCATCTCCAAACTCGAACCACCGAAGAACCAGAAAGAACTTCGGCGCTTCCTCGGCAAAGTCGGATATCACTGATGATTCATCCACAAGTACACTCACATTGCCAAACCACTCAACGATGGACTAAAACAAGATGCCCAATGGACATGGACGTCCGAACAGCAACAAGCATTTGACAATATCCGACTCAAACTAACAACAGCACTGATCCTTGCCAAGCCCGACTGGACACAAGAGTTCCACATTCATGTCGACACTTCTGACGTCGCCACTGGTGCAATTCTGAGCCAAACTCAACATGACAACCGAAATCAACCAATCTACTACGCCAACCAACTACTCAACCCAGCTGAACAAAATTACACCACCACCGAGAAAGAAGCTCTCGGCATGATCTACTCACTTCAAAAGTTCCGACACTACATACTGTCAACCAAAGTCATAATTTTCATCGACCACAAGGCACTCCTTTACCTCATCAACAAACCGATATTATCTGGTCGAATATCAAGATGGTTCCTTTTACTACAAGAATACAACTTCGAGATCGTCCACAAACCTGGCAAAAATCATGAGCAAGCAGATTATCTCAGCCGGATCACCACCGGCGACAAACCTGAAAGACTTACCAATGACTTACCTGACTCAAACCTATTCCGAGTTTCAATACCAGCAACCTGGCTCGACGACGTCTTCAGTTACCTGAACTCAGCAAGAGTTCCAAATCAGTACACTATGTCCAACCAAAAGAAGACTTTTGTTGCTAAAACCCGACGATACTCAGTCATTGGAGGCACTCTCTACAAACTAGGAATTGACAACATTCTTCGCCGATGCATCAAACCGCAAAGCACAACTCAAATCATCAAGGAAGCTCACGATGGACCTTCCGGTGGACACTTCGCTGCTGACACCACAACTCGGAAGATTCTTCAAGCCGGCCTCTGGTGGCCGACACTCTGGCATGACACTGAAGAATTATGCAAATGCTGCGACACATGTCAAAGACACCAATTACTGCCGAAAACTCAGACTCAACAACTCAACCCAACATTCCCAATGGCACCATTTCAAAAATGGGGACTTGACTTCATCAGACCCCAAGTCAGCACCCATCGACAAAATCAATACATCATCGTCGCCACCGATTACACTACCAAGTGGGCCGAAGCAATACCTCTCCGACATGCCACAGTGAAAGCAACAACAACCTTCATCTACAAAAATATCATCACTCGTTTCAGCACACCACTCGAACTCGTCACCGACAAAGGCACCCACTTTATCAACCAAACAATCGAACATCTCGCCACCAAGTTCAAAATCCGACACAAAACGTCAACACCATACTATCCTCAAGGCAATGGTCAAGCAGAAGCAACGAACAAAACACTGAAGACCATCCTCAAAAAAGTCATCAATGATTCTGGCAAAGACTGGGACGACAAACTTCTTGACGTACTTTGGGCCTATCACACTGCGTATAAAGTCACCACTGACATAATGCCATTCAAACTCGCCTTCGGAACAGAATCCATCACGCCAATTGAATTCATCGTCCCAAGCATGCAAGTCACCGTCAAGTATAATCTCAACACCCGACATGCAGTTCGAGAAAGGCTTCAGCAACTCGAACATCTCGACGAACTCCGCCTCAACGCCCTCTGGACACTTCATGCCATCCAAAAACAGAGAAAAGCTTGGCACAACCGACAAGCAT